ATACTAAGGGAGGCAAGGGAAGAGATTGCTGGGGCCTTGACAGAGATCTCTGTGTCCTCTTTAGTCACAGGTGAGGTCCCAGAAGACTGAGAAGACCCAATGTTGTTCCTTTGTTTAAGAAGGGCAACAGGGATAATCCAAGAAATTACAGGCCAGTAAACCTAACATCAATGGTTGGGAAATTACTGGAGAAGATTCTTAGGGATAGGATTTACTTGTATTTGGAAAAGAATGGTCTTATTATGGATAGTCAGCATGGTTTTATGCAGGGGAGGTCTTGTCTCATAAATTTTAGTTTTTCAAAGAAGTGTTGAAGATGACTGATGACGATAGGGCAGTGGATGTTGTCTACATAGACTTTACTAAAGCACTTGACAACGTCCCTCATGGGAGGGTGATCCAGAAGATTGTCATATGGGATCATCGGCGAGTTGGTAAGTAGGATATAAAATTGGCTTGGTCATAGAAAACAGAAGGTATTTGTGGAGGGGTGTTTCTCTGACTGGAGGTCTGTGACCAGTGGTGTTATGCAAGAATCAATGATGGAACCTCTGCTGTTTGTAATTTATATAAACAATTTGGATGAAAATGTAGCTGGTCTTATTAAGTTTCTAGATGACACAAAAACTGGTGGAGTTGTGAATTGTGAGGAAGTTTGTCGAGTATACAGCAAAATATTGATGAGTGGGAAAGATTGGTGGAGAAATGGCAGATGGAGTTTAACCCAGACAAGTGTGAAACAATGCATTTTAGAAGGTCAAATACAAGAGGAAAATGTACAATAAATGGCAGTACACTTCGCAACAATAATGTAACAGAGGGATCTTGGGGTGCAAGTCCATAGCTCGCTGAGACTCACAACACAAGTGGATAAGGTGGTAAACAAGACCTACATCATGCTTACCTTCATCAGTCGGGGCTTTGAGCATAAAAGTTGACAAGTCATGTTGCAGCTGCAAAACGTTAGTTAGGCCACATTTGGAGGATTGTATACAGTTCTGTAGCCACACGATGGGAATGATGCAGAAACTTTGGAGCGGGTACAAAAGACATTTACCAGGATGTTGCCTGGATTGGAATGTATTAAAAATAAGGAAAGGTTGCATAATCTTGGATTGTTTTCACTAGAGCGTCAGAGACGGAGAGGCAACCTGATAGAAGTACATAACATTCTGAGAGATAGATAGGGTGGACAGTCAGTGTCTTTTTCCCAGGGTCGAAATATCAAATACCAGTGGGCATAGGGTGAAAGTGAATGGGGTAAAGTTTAAAGGAGATGTGTAAGATAGGTAATTTACAAAGAGGGCGGTAAGTGCCCGGAAAACTGTGCCAGGGTAAAAACAAATACAACAGTAATGCTGACGAGGCATTTAGGCAGACACATGAGCAGGCAGGGACAGACAGATATGGACCACATGCAGGCCGATGGAATTAGTTTAAAATGGCATCATGGTCGACACTGATATGGGTTGAAGAGCCTGTTCCTGTGCTGGACTCTTCTATGTTCTATGTTCATTATGGCCAAGAGAACAATGTGTTGATTAGTGACAGAAGTATGAATGTAACCACCTCCTTCCACTTGTGTCCACTTTGATGGCCTCTGCTTATTCCACCAGACATACTCATTGGTCTGAGCAACTAATTTGTACCAAAGGCTTGAAGTCAGAATGAAGTACTGGAGTTTCTTCCACACCAATTCATGTAGACCTTTGAAACTTCTAACAGCTATAGAAAGCACGAAAACAAATGCAGAATTGTAGCAACAGCAACAGAATAAATGAACCAGAAAGCAACTTGTAAGCTGATGTTCCACTTAAGTGGTACTACTGGGTGGCAGTCTTTCATGCTGCTTCGTGCAGTGTTTAGAAATTGATAGAGTGAGTGTTCATCCAAAGTAGCAATGTTGGCCTTGAATCAGCAAAGCTGCACTCACACTATTTAATCATTATTAAGTCCAGAGCTCTTCTACCAGAAACAGGCACAACTGACACGAATGTCACACGCCTTCTGAGCCAGTTCACCACGTCTTTGGATGATGTTGTCAAGTAAGTTCAAGAACAGACCATTGGAGAGCTAAAATAGAGATTACAAGAGATTCTCTGTATTTAGTTAGGAAAGAGTGGGACCCATTCAAGCAGTGCCACTCGGTTGGACAATGGAGGTAGGCGTGATTGACCACATCACAGGCTGCAGAGAAGAAAGGTGAGGAAAGCCAGTTCTCTAGCGTTACAGAGGATATAATTTCTCACTTTGATGAGGTCTATTTTACTAAGATCAGAAATGTGTTAAAGAGAGATTCAAATATGGATCTGCAGAGATAGCTTGCTTTAAGAGGATGAGCTCGTTATATAGAAGCAGCACTATAAGAACAAGATCAAAGATGGTTCTCAACTAAGTGGACAATACCTGAGAAAAGACAATCATTTATAATATTAACCACCATGAGGATCAGAAAGGGAAATTATGTGGTCTGCAGTTTAGCAAGGTAAGCTCAGAAAGGAAATGAAGGCAGAGATAGAAGGCAAATTAGCAAAAGATGCTGATAAGAAAACAAATTTCTGACTTGAGTAATAAAACATCTACCTGTCTGTTTCTACCTGAAAATACGCAAGAAAAAAAAACTTTATTTTATCAGAAACTTGACCAATGGTGTTTCTTAACTGGTCTATTTACGTTACACTTCCGTCCGTGATCCGTGACAACTGTAGTTCTTTGGGAATGTTCCTGTACATGCTTAAAAAAACTTTCATTACATATATAATTAGATCAACAACATGGAGAAAGAAACAAACTGCTGTTAGTATTTCTACTATCGCAGCATTTTTACAGTGTTTCTATACTACAACTGTTACAGTTGAATTCCTACAGACTGTCATTTCCTGGATCAGACGAAATTGCATCTATAAATCTGTCACTGGGCTAAGGGAGTCAGGTTTATCAATGTATATGCCAAGTGCTGGATTACAGTGATGGTTTCCTGATATCTGAAACACTAGTGTACCTTCTAAGTGGTTTTACATCTTGTTTTTTTAATCTCACATTCACTTTCAAGCTCACTTTTGTTTTGGTTTTGGAGACGCCAATCAAACTATCACAACTAATGGCCAAGGAGAGTTTGAGAGAATTGTTTGGTGATGATAGCAAGGTATCACAACACATAAAGAAATTTGATAAAGCCTGGAGGAACATAATTTATTTCAATATATATAAATTACCCTACAAGGACCACCAATCATTTCTATGATTATTGAAAAGTCACTGCCTTAGCTCTGAACATTGCTCTTTGGGATCCAAACTTCAGAAAACAGTGCTTACACCCTTATTTAAAATGTATCGATCATGCTTAAAACTAAATGACATTTAAAGAACCATTTGCCATCAAAATTATTTGCACAATATTCTCAGTGTTGTAATTGTAAACTTAATTAGACTGGGTCTTTGTACAGCATGAATGTTTGAAGTCACAAACAAATTATAAACTATCAGAATTTTAGCCACTATAGCACCATACAGCATCATTTTCATGTTGATCCTAATAAAATTGCATTCAAAACTGTCACTGAAAATGTGATAATTTTCTGTTAACTATTTTACAATGTATCAATGTATTAAGTCAACTATTTTATGAGCAAAATATTCATCACAAATAAAGAACAAAAATACAGTTTTTAAGTCTCTCAACTTCTCAGCACTCATTCAAAACACACAATTTGAATTTGCTCAAATTAACTGTTCACTTGACAAAAGTGGTTTGAAATAATCTTGAAAAGCATGTGTGTAAATATTTAGTAAAGCTAGGTAATGATCCAAAGGAAAGTTGTAAACGTTCTTAAAGGAGAACATACAAGCAAGTGGAGAATATACCAATGAACAGGCAATAGTATTGACAGGAAATGTACCTGAAGACCACACCTGAAGTATTGTGTGTAGTTTTAGTCTCCTTTACTGAGGATATTCTGGCGACTGAGGGAGTGTAAAGAAGGTTTAACAAATTGACTCCTGGGATGGTGGAATGGATTTGGGGGTGGTACGGTGGCTCAGTGGTTAGCACCGCTACCTCATAGCAACAGGGTTCGAATCCATTCTCGGGCAACTGTCTATGCCGAGTTTGCACATTCTCCCCATGTCTGCGTTAAGTTTGGACATTCTCCCTTTGTCTGTGTGAGTTTCCTCCGGGTGTTCCGGTTTGCTCCCACAGTCCAAAGGTGTGCAGGTCAGGTGGACTGACCATGCTAAATTGCCCATATTGTCCAGGGATATGGACTAGTCATCGGAAATGCAGGGCTACAGGGATAGAGTGGAGGGTGGGTCTGGGGGGGATTTTCGTTGGAGGCTTGGTGTGGACTCGATGGCTGAATGGCCTGGTTCCACACTGTAGGGATTCTATGATTCCATGGTGATGTACAAGGAGAGACTGGATTGGTTACAACGACATTCACTGGAGTTTAGAAGAATGACAGGGGACCTCATAGAAGCTTCGAAAACTCTCAACAGGAATAAACAGGGTAGATGCAGAAAGGATGTTCTCGATGTCCAGGAAGTCCTGAATCAGGGATCACAGACTAAGGATAAGGGGGAGGCTTTTAGGACAGAGATGAGGAGAAACGCAGAGAGTGGTGATCCTGGGGAAATCTCTGCCACATAAAGCAGAAAGGCAAAACACTGAATCCTTTCAGAAAGGAGCTAGGTATTTTCTAAGGCCAAAGGGACTAAAGGGTAAGGGACGAAAGTGGAGACAAGGTACTGAAGTGGGTGAACAGCTATGTTAATATTGAACAGCGTTTCAAGCTCAAAGAATCAAACGGTCTGCTCCTGCACCAAAATTCTATGTATTTAAGTCTCAGAATCAAATCTAACTCAGCAAGCTTGGTTGATCTTACATCCTAGTTGAGAACATAATTATTTTTGAATTCTAGAAACTAGAATTGTTCAGACAGGAATGATGAAACTTTATTCAAGTGGAGTCATTAATAAATCTTTGTAAAGAGTAGTTTACTTACTCCTTTTCTTTCAATTCTGGTAAATCCAAATACCAGTGCTCATCACTAATTATCTTCTTTTCTTCTTCTTCCAATTGCTTCTTAGTTTCTGTATCCAAACTCCTCTGCATAAACTAGAAGTAAATCAAAAAACAGCCATCAATTCCACTGAAAAATTAACAGTAAAAGTTTTAACTTATGGATTTAAAGTACTTCCAAGATTAAAAGTACATTGGAGTTATTGTTTTCCAATAAATTTGTCTGAAAGTAAAGATCCTTTGTACAATATTTTTAATTCCTTACTTATCAACTGAAACACAAAATGTTGCTAAAGTGTGAGTATGATAGAAATAGCACTACTGACAAAATTATTCATTTCAACCTCTCATTTCCTTTGCATCCAAACTAAAAATGAATAACGACTTATCAGTTGTATAGAATAAAATCATTTCTGAACAATAATCACACATACTGAAAACAAATTCAAATAATTTAAACTACAGTAATAGCACATTGCATTGCTTTTATTCTCAATTGCAATAGCGTATGCAAAATGTCTCAATGAAGTCTCAAAGGGGAGGGTGTGTATCCACCTTCCGAGTAAATTTTTAATTGCTCAACCAAAACCATTAAAAACAGCTCGACTAACTGGATTTCATCTCATTGTCGTTTATGGACAAATACTGCTGCCTTTGCCCATAAGGCAACAGTGACCATTTCAAAAGTAATAAATTTACCATCAAGTGTCTTAGATATTCATGTTTTCCTTCATGTTTTTAAACTGTCACGCTGCAACACTGATTATAAAATTGACTGGTTAAATCAATACAAAAAAAAACCAAATCTTGAAAAACAAACTACTGAACAAATCTACTGAAAAACAAATTATGTTCGCATTTAAAGAAAGGCAAATTGAAATCATCTCGTATCTTATGAAGATGTGTTGGTCAAGTAAGATTTTGCATTCACTGTCATTTGTGAACCTTGCAATGTTTATTGAGTAATGTCCAACTGATATAGTGCAAATTACTGTGCATCAAGACCACAATAAAAAATTGCATTTGTAGAGCACTTAGACTTCGTAAAGTGCTTCATGAGGACATTGTAAAACAAACTATGATACAGAGCTATGAAAGAAAATATCAGGGCAGATGACCAATTAGAGACACAGGTTTTAAGGAGAGTCTTACACAAGAGAATTGAGGTAGAAAAGTTAAAGAAGGAACTCCAGAGCTTAGGCCTCAGCAGCAGAAAACACTGCTCCCAATAGTTAAGCAATTAAAATTTGAAATGTACAAGAAACCAGAATTAGAGGAGCGCACAGATTTGAGATTGTAGTATGAGAGTGCGACGATACTTGGCTTTAAGAGGTGTATTTTGTCCTTTTTTTTAAAATGAAGAAAGGTTAAGACAGAAGTGCCAAGTAGTCTGCTCAAAACCAATAAAGTAAACAACTTGCAAGGCCTTGAGGTTTTTCTGCCAAGTTGGAACAATAGCGACAGCCTGAACGGGTGGGGGTCAAAATCCTGCAGAACCAGGATTTTTCATTTTAGCCTTCTGTGGTTGCCGGGGTCTTGAAGCTGGATGTGGAAGCTCTTATTCCTCTCTCTGTTACAGCTTCAAGCTGAAGTTCTCTTCCTGCTGCTAGAATTGCATGGGAGACAATCTATTTCACTGAATTTGCCTTTGTCAAGGGTGTATTTACAGGATGTTACTCTATTGGAACAGTTAATTAGTAGCATAAGACCGTAAGACATAGGAGCAGAAATTAGGCCATTCAGCCCATCGAGTCTGCTCTGCCATTCAATCGTGGCTGATAAGTTCCTCAAACCCATTCTCCCGCTTTCTCCCCGTAACCTTTGGTCCCCTTGATAATCAAGAACCTATCTCAGTCTTAAATGTACTCAATGACCTGGCCTCCACAGCCTTCTGTGGCAGTGAATTCCATAGATTCACCACTCTCTGGCTGGAGAAGTTTCTCCTTAAAGTTAATATATTATTTTATTAAACATTTTAATAGTTACAGTTAAGCCAATTCTTTTATTTTATTTTGTCTGTATTTTAATTGTACTGTAAACATAAAGTGTAGTTTGCTTAAAGTTTTTGACCAAAAAAATTGCATCTGAATGCAACTCCTCACACTTCCTTTTAGAATAAGGAATAGGTAGGGTCTAGGCTGTCTTTTGAATGTATTTTGAGAGGAATGATCTGGTCCATGGGCTTAACCAAGAGCCAGCATGGGCAAGTGAGGAGGGATGGTGGGTAAACAGAAATTGGTAAGTGTTAGAACACAATTGCAGTTTTGGATTATCTCAACTTTATGTAGAATGTGGAAGGTCATTAAAGAGTGCATTGTAAGAGGCAAGTCTAAAGATAACAGAGGCATGGATTATACAGATGAAATTCGTATATTCTTAAAATTGTCACTAGGAAGGAAATGAGAAAGCACTCTGATTTTATACAAAGTATGGTGAAAATTTGCAGTCTGTCCCTAAGATTGATCAACTGAAATTTTCAAGATAAGCACAATAAATGTTTTGTTAGGTACAATTTCCAAGGGATTTAGAGCAAATGTGACTAAACCAAGGTAATTAAAGCATGAATGAGGATTTCTGCAGCAAAAGAGTTGAGCAGGAATACAACTGATTATCTTTGGGAGGTAACAGAGGTAAGACTGAAGTGGAAAAAGAAGCAATTGTTTGTGATTCTCTTGCTATGTTTGGATAAATAAAAATGAAACCAGACAAGTACATTTTCCCCAGTTATATATTAGTTGAGTAGTGCTGGAACAGATTGCTGTGATCAACCATGTGAAATGGTACATACGCATCAAAAATAAAGGAAGGTCGGGGGGCAGCACGTCTTTATCACAATCAAACAGTGCTATTTGTGACTTTATTAACAGTCATTTAAGCATACCGGCAGAAGCAGAAACCAGACTAGAGGGATTAAAACTGAATTTTGGGAAAGGACGGCACAAATCTGGGGGTGAACAACACATGCAAAGACTTTGGAGAGGGGTGATGGAGTTGGCGATGGGGTAATAGTTTGCAAGATTAGTAGGGTCAAGGGTAGACTTTTAACAATAAGGGGTTGTAATGATCAAAACAAACATTCTCAGGGTAATTGGTGAACTATGAATTTGTATTGTTTGTTTAGCTATTTCTCATTTTCAATAGTTTCAATTTATGAATGAAAACACAAGCAAAGCTTTAATGTTAGACAAGATAATTGCAAAACTACTGTTGTGGTTATTCAAGGTAAAGTGACAACGTTATTAGATAAAAAGATACATGTAGATTAAGATAAAGATTAAATGGAGGCAAGTATAAAAGATAAGTATAAAGATGATTGCAGGCCTGTTACTTGCTTTAAGATTCCCTTTCCAAAGGAAAGGGGTTGAAAGCTTAAAGTCAGATTTGGAAACTTCAATGGCTTCTCTAGGTTATAAATTGCTTTAATAGGGGGATTCAATAGGTAGGGCAGTTGAATAAAGGTCAAAACCTAAATGATTGCTATCCCAGAAGTAGTGAATCACGCTTCCATTGGAGATCAGGCATCTCAGCTCCAGGAGAGATCTCTACAGGAGTTCCTCAGTAGTATCCTAGGCCCAATCATCTTCAATTGTTTCATCAATGAGGATGTTCACCAACGATTGGACAATATTCAGCACTCTTTGTAAGTCCTCAGAATCTGACGTGCAATGCAACAAGATCTGAACAATATCCAGGCTTGGACAGGCAAGTGACAACTTACATTCACACTGCATAAATGCCAGGCTATGACCATCTCCACTAAGAGACAAACTAACCACCAACTGTTGACATTCAATGTTCAGTGTTAACATCACTGAATTCTCCACCATCAACATCCTGGGTGCCACCATTGACCAGAAACTCAAATGGGATCATTACACAGACAAAATGACTACAAGAACTGGTCAGAGGCTAGGAATACTGCAACAAGTAACTAACCTCCTGACTCCCCAAAGCCTTTCTGCTATCTACATGGCACAAGTTACTTGCTTGGATGAGTGCGACTCCAACAACACTCCAAAAAACTTGACATCATCCAGGACAAAGCAATCCTCTTCATTGGCATCACATACACAAGCATCCACTCCTTCCAACACCAACATTCATAGCAGCATATTCAGGATCAGCACTAGAAAGGATAGGTTGGACAGGCAAGAGACTGGCAAGATCAGTCCACCAGCCTACAGGCCGCGTGCAAAGGTTGGTGAAAGTGTAGGCTGAGCTAGCTAAGATTACAATACAAACTAGCAATTAACCTGAAATTAGACTAAAATACACCTGTAATGGAGACCTGCAGACCAGCTTTCAGGGCAGAAAGATATGAGGTTACTATAAAATACTTAAAGAGCAGAAGATACGCTACATCCCGGACAAAAATAACTCTGGGCAGCATAGCTGAAGTTGACAAACCAGAAGAAACAGTTCAGCCGTATTCTCAGCAGGAAACATGAGCCCCACAGATCCTCCATCACAGTAGCAGTGCAGCTATTGCTGAAGCTGGTTAAAGTTAATTTAAAATATAATCAGAAATATAAAAGCTGAGTCTTGCAATGGAATTCTGCACAGTTTGTGCAGAAGTGTATGTTTGATGATGTCCAGAAGTTCAGGAATGTGAAGATTCAGAGCTTGTTGAGGGAAGTATTGTGCAGAAATGGTTGAGCAATGGGCAGTGGCAATACAAACTGGCAATTAACCTGAAATTAGACTAAAGTACACCTGTAATGGAGCCAATGGAACTTAGACGGTAAAGTTAGGGAGATTTGGAAAGAAAGAGCCAAAGATAGCAGCAATTGGCCAAGGATAGCAAGTGTACATTGAGGAGCTCCCTAAAGAGCCAACTGCACAAGAGCTACTGTGAGGGGAAATAAATTTAATCAAAATTAACAGATGTCATCCATAGGAGAAAAGGAAATTTTCCTTTGGGGAAGTTGGGGAGGGGAGAAGGGAAGAGATAGAAACTTTTTCCATTGAATAAGGGCAAAGAAAAAGAAACTTATGATCTGCATTTGTATATCAACCCGGGAAAGAACCAGACTTTATTTCATCTTGCAAAGATTTGCAGTCATTGGTACAAAATAAATATCTAAGAATGGACAAGA